ATATATATATATATATATATATATATATATATATATATATGTGATTAAATAGTGCCAAAAAAATGAAAAAAAATAGTTAAATAATACAATTTATTTATTTAGTTTTATTTTAAGTGCTAAATTAATAAAAATATTAAACTGTAATTATATTTCAAAATGGGCCGTTTTGGAATAATTTCCGAGTAAAACGGGACTAGTGTCCAATTTTTTTTGGACATATTTTGTATTTTGATCCATTTGTCACCACACGGCCCAACTTAATTCGGCCCATTCAAAATAAACCCGAAAACCCTAGCTTTCGCGCTATATAAATCCCAAAACCTAGGGTTTTTTTCCTTCTTCTGATTGTGAGAGTGTAAGGGAGTGTTTCATCTTGTATACGTAAGAAGATGCCTGCCGGCCATGGACTTCGATCCCGTACCAGAGATCTCTTCGCGAGGCCTTTCAGGAAGAAGGGTTACATTGCTTTAACTACATATTTGAGGACCTTCAAGATCGGCGACTATGTCGACGTCAAAGTGAACGGTGCTGTCCACAAAGGAATGCCGCATAAATTCTACCATGGCCGCACCGGTCGTGTATGGAACGTTACCAAGCGCGCCATCGGTGTTGAGATCAACAAGCAGGTCTATTTCTGTTTACGTTTTCCTTCGTGTTTGTATTGTTTCTGTTGTCGGTTCTTTAATTAGATCTGTTCTGGTTTTCATTCTGCTGTGTCTTTTTAGAATATCTATGGATTTGATGATTGACGTAATTGATTAATATGGAAACTTATTTAGTTTTAGGCCGTAGACGTTATGGACTCATTTCTGTCTATTAAATTTTTTCTTGCTGTTGATTTGTTCGGAGGATTTTGAATATGTATCTGTTAATTCGTTAAGCAACTCATTCGGTGATTGTTTCTATAATTGCTTGGCTTTTGATAGTCGAATACTACGTCTTGAATGAATATGGAATTCTTTTTTGCTGATTGGCGTTAATGGAATTTGAATTCATGTTAGACTTGTTTGTAAACAATCGGTTATCTCATGCATTTGAAGAGTCGAATGTTTTGAGCTGTATCTGCCTTAGGTTGGTGTTTATAACGATTTAGTTTTTGGCTGTAAAGGGTTATCATTACAAGGTATTTTGATGATTTTCCTGTCATCTGAGCACAATTGTATCTCTGTTATTTGATTATATTTCAATCAATTTAAACCCACTTGCAGGGGGGTCTTCTAATGTTCTATATTAAAATTTTCAGGTGGGCAACAGAATCATAAGGAAAAGAATCCATGTCCGAGTTGAGCACGTGCAGCCCTCACGGTGCGCCGAGGAGTTCTGTTTGAGGAAGGTGAAGAACGATCAACTGAAGGCCGAAGCCAAGGCTAAAGGTGAAGTCATTTGTACCAAGAGGCAACCAGAAGGCCCCAAACCAGGGTTCATGGTTGAAGGTGCTTTAATGGAGACCGTTACACCCATTCCATACGATGTGGTTAATGATCTCAAGGGTGGTTATTAGTATTTCTTTTTCCTGGATATTGTTGCAATTTACTCCTTGTGCCCCTAAATTTTTTTGGATGCTAAACTTTTCTTTCGAAAATTTTCAGCCCTAAGCTTTTGAGTAAAACTAATGTAGTTTCAGCTCACTTAAAGTAGTTTTGTTGCTCTATGTTCTTTCTTATGCTTTTGTTTTGTCTGCCCATGAATCCTCCTTTCAGATGGTAGTAGCTGCTTCATTTGATGTTCATTATTTAGTTTTCCTTGTTACTATTTAAATTAGTATTCTATGCAATGTTCTTTGTATGTCATTACAGATCTTTTAAGCTATGTTCTTTCTGATTGTATTGAAATTTTTTTAGAATTATATTTCACTAATTGAGATGGATTTTGATATGGTGATTTCTAATGTAATTTTGTACAGGCTTCGGAATTTATGTAAAAAAAAGAAAAAGCTCTTTCAATTTTTGTTTATTTGTTTTTTTTAAAAAAATTCTCGGGTAACTTCTTTATTGTTTTTATGTTCACATTAATGAAAAATATGTACTATTAATTTTTTTTTTGTGTAGTTATTGATTTATGTTTCATGGATAATATAATTCAGTCTTAAATATGTATTAAAGATATATTACATTTTATATATTCCTAAACATATAGTGGTAATTATATATAATTATGCCTTATAATATTCTTTTAATCCATGTTTTTCACTAAATACTTAATTTTGGTCCTTCGATTTTTTTTTTATTACGTGATTTAAACGTATTAAAATTAGTTTTCAGTAATATTATGTAAAATTTTAGGAGTGAATGTAAAGTTCTGAAATTGATACTAAATTAAAACTAAAGTCATAGTAAAAATGAAACATTATAAAATTAGGGGGCCAAGTAAAAAATAATACCATAAAATTTGGGGATGAAATGAAAATTAAACCTAAAATTCATGGTAAAAGTGTAAATATGTCTCAAAGATGGACCGATTTGGGATAGTTTCCTATTAAAACTAAGACTAAATGTCACTAGACGGGCCCACTTTGATTCGGCGTATTGAAAATAAACCCAAAACCCTAGAATTCGCACTATATAAATGCCAAAACCTTGTTTCCTTGTTCTTTTTTTTCTTCAGATCGTGAGTAGGAGTGAGTTTTACTTTGTACTAGTAAGAAGATGCCGGCTGGCCATGGACTTAGATCCCGTACCAGAGATCTCTTCGCGAGGCCTTTCAGGAAGAAGGGTTACATTGCTTTAACTACATATTTGAGGACCTTCAAGATCGGCGACTATGTTGACGTCAAAGTGAACGGCGCCGTCCACAAAGGAATGCCGCATAAATTCTACCATGGCCGTACCGGTCGTGTATGGAACGTTACCAAGCGCGCCATCGGTGTTGAGATCAACAAGCAGGTCGATTTCTGTTTCCGTTTTCTCTCGTGATTGTATTGGTTCTGTTTTCGGTTCTTTTATTCGATCTGTGCTGGTGTTCATTCTACTTTGTATTCTTGGAATATCTATGAATTTGGTGATTTAGGTTTAGGCTGGATTTATGGACTCTGTTCTGTCTATTCAATTTCTCCTTGCTGTTGACTTGTTCAGAGGATGTTGATTATGCATCTGTTAATTTGTTTAGCAACTCATTCAGTTGTTGTTTCGGATATCGCGTGGCTTTTGATAGTCGAATGCTTTGCGTAGCTATGGCCATTTTTTTTTTGCTGATTGATGCTGCTGGAATTCGAATTCATGTTAGATTTGTTTGTTAAATCGGTTATTTCATATGCATTTGAAGAGATAATGTTTTTGGCCATATCTGCTTAGGGTAGTGTTCATCTATCGATTAGGTTTTTGGCTGTAAAGGATTATCATTATAGGCTACCTGTATGATTATCCAGTCATCTAAACGAATTTGTAGCCTCTGTTATTTGATTGTGATTCAAGCAATTTTCAAACCCACTTGTGTTCTGATGTTCTATATTAAAATTTTCAGGTGGGCAACAGAATCATAAGGAAGAGAATCCATGTCCGAGTTGAGCACGTGCAGCCCTCACGGTGCGCCGAGGAGTTCCGTTTGAGGAAGGTGAAGAATGATCAACTGAAGGCTGAAGCCAAGGCCAAAGGTGAAGTCATTTGTACCAAGAGGCAACCAGAAGGCCCCAAACCAGGGTTCATGGTTGAAGGTGCTTTAATGGAGACTGTGACTCCCATTCCATACGATGTCGTCAATGATCTCAAGGGTGGTTATTAGAACTTCTTTCTTTCAACCTTGTCTTGTTTGGCTGTGTTTTTGAGGTATGTATTCGAACTTCTTGGATAGTGATTGTAATACAGCTGATCTTTTTTTAGACGAATTGGGCAATTTGTGTAGTTTTGGTCCTTTCTTACTCATAAAAAGATCTACTAAATTCATTGAGTGATTTCAAAGAATCAGAACTGCCTGTTGGTAAAATTTCTTGTCGGCTCTTGTAAAATACATTTAAAGGACTTCCAAAAACATTGTAAGCTAAAACCGTGATGAATAACCCGTCTAGAATGAATTGAGAAGGTATAGTAATACTATGAATGACTTAGTACTCAGTATTTATCGGTGATAATAGAAAGAAGCAGAAGAACTGCCTCATGTGATAATAGATAGACATGTCAACTGAACACAATAACTAAGGTGACTAACATTCATTCAAATAAGACAAAAAAAAAGGTAAAATCCCCAAACACTTTTCTAGTAGTGGAAGACGTAGACGTTATACTCCACAACGGCATCACCGGTGCTGTAATCCACCGTGTAAGTCTTCGCCTGAGCATACCCGCGAGCAAATCGGAAAAGGCCACCGCCGCCGACGACCGGCATCTCTCTGACTGCAGACATAACCGTATTCCGCCCCAAAATGCTCAAATAACTCCCATTGTACTTCCCTTCCACAAACGCAAAATTCATAACCATTAAGAGCCCAAGTTCCGTTTGCGACGCGGAGGCATAAAACCCTTGAGCTCTTCCCAGCAATTTCGACCCAATTTCCGGCCGCTCTGTTAGCGGATCGTCCGTCATGACCACCATGCCGAATAAAGACCGTGAGGCGTTGGCCTGAGGCGGCAAGACGACTGGCACTGCTGTGGGGTTCCGTCCACTGAGGATGTCGTGGAAGTAGAAGTGGAGGTGGCTCAGCTTCTCCCGTCGCCGGAGCCCGAGCTTTTCCAGCGACAGAACGGGCTTCGCCGCGGCTAAGGCAGAGGTGAGGAAGAGAGAGAAACAAAGGGCAGCCGCGACGGCGGCAGAGCGATTTGGGATGAAAGTCGGAGCCATGGAAGCAAATGGGGTATGGCGATGAGAATCCGGAGTCCGAGTCTCTGGTTTTATTTATGGAGTCAATGAAGTAGAAGTGGAGAAGAAGAGCAAAAGGTGTAGTGGACGGGACATTTATTGTTGGATCTCAAAGAAAAAAAAGAAAAAAAAAAACAAACACTAAAGGACTAATGAATCAATAATTAATTGAGTGGAACATGACTTTGAAACTAGTGATCTTCAAGTATGCTTTTCCCTTTCAATTATAATTTTTTTTGACAAAATGAGTATTGAAAAATTATATATATTTAAGATTCTTACGTCCGAAGTAATTAGTCTTTATTCATCATAGGACCATATACTAATGATCATAGGACCATATACTAATGACGATGAATCTAAATGATGACTTAAAATATCGTGCTATATATTTATAGAATTTGAATTTCTAATTTTTTTTATTGATTATATATAATTTAACAAATTAAATTATGCTCGAGTTCACATGTCATATTTACGAATGGTATAAAAAAATGAGTTAAAATTTAGTGCACCTTATCATTTAAAGATGTCTTTGTCGTCAAGGAAAAGTAATAAATTCCAATTATATCAGGTGATATATATTTTTTTTTTTATAATTTCAAAAGGCAAAAATTATATAATTTAAAAAATGGTACAATAATTCCAAAAGGAAAAAAACTATTTCTTTAAAAAACAAATAATATAATTGGTTTTCTAATTATTTAATTTTAGAATATATATATATATTATCTAATTAAATTTTTTTGTTAAGGTTTGAAAACTAAAAAATAGTTTTTTTAAAATTTATTTTAATTTTAAAATTTTGCCTAGAAATGATTATTTATTTATTTTATTTTTAAAAATTTTGGTCGTTGGATTTAGCTCAATTTTCTTACGTTTCTGTTAGAGCTGAAAACGGAAGGCGAAACCCGGGAATTTGTTGCAGAACGAAGATGTTCAGAGCGCGCTTCGGTCCACATATGGGTACTAGAGAGGTCTTAAGTTCCATGAAACCACCATGAATCCAGGGCTCGGATCACCTCGTTGCCTTTTCTCTTCTTAAACCCGACCCTGTAATTGCTTCTTCTTCTGTTTAATCAGCTTATAATAGTCACTTTTATTATGGTTTGGGATTCATGTTTGAGTTCTGGTGTGTTTTGATTCAGGTTAAAAGTGAATGGGGGCATCAATCCTGTTCTCCTTAATATCACCGCAGTAGTGAGTTCCTCTCTTTCTAATTTTTTGTTTGTTTTGTCCAAGGAAAGATGAATTTAATGAATGCTTCTAGGTTTTTGATTGTGTAGTAATAAATGTGACCTCTATATTGGGTTCTTTAAATTAATCTTCTGTAGAGTAGTTGATGAACGTTGCTGGATCGATAATTTCGGAGTTTAATTCAATTCAGTTCATCCTATTGGAAATTGGACAATTCTAGTTAACTTAATTTATGCGCCTTTGTGGGCATTCATGAGCTCCCTTCTTTCTGTCACCTTGTCCATTGTGTTGTGTGGGAGGGGAAGGAAACACATTTCTGAGAGAATCAGTGGGTGGGAGATAGACCCTCTGCTCTATGTTTCTTCGTCTCTATCATTGGTCCTCCTTTAAAAATCGTTTGGTGGCTGATTTCCTGGTTTGGTCGGGGAGCTCTGTTCCTATCCTTTTGGCTTCTGTCATTCGTTGTCTCTGATTGGGGAGATTGGTTTTAGGATTGGAGATGGTCGTGTTTGGAATCCAAACTCTTTGGATGAGTTTTCTTGTAAGTTCTTCTTTTGTCTGCCTGACCATTCTCCCATTAGGGAGGCTGTTTTTTTCTCCTATTGGAGAATAAAGATCCCAAAGGAGGTTAAATTCCTTACTTGGAAAGTTTTACACGGACGAGTTAACACTTTAGATCAGCTTTTGAGGAAGTTTCCCTTGTTAGTTGACCCGTTTTGTTGCATTCTTTGTCTGAAAGGCTGAGGAAAAATTGTATCATATTCTTTGGAGGTGTGAGTTTGCCGAGTTCTGTTTGGAGTTCTTCAAGATGTTTGGTTTGGTGCGAATGTAAGCATAATTCAACTGCTACAAAATATGTACAATCGAGGTTAGAGATGTGAATCTCCTATCTTGCGACTGGTTTAACTCAAAATAGGAAGGTCCTTTGGCTCCAACTAATCAGAACTTTCTTTTGATGTCTTTGATTACAAAGAAAAATACATAAAATGCCATAGATAATGTTTCTTCGGAATGTTTTTTTTTTTTTGTACTGATCTTAAGTGGTAGTAATTTAATTGTGATATCCCACATTGGTTGGGGAGGAGAACGAAACACCCTAAGGGTGTAGAAACCTTTCCCTAACAGAGTGTTTTAAAGCCTAGAGGGGAAGTCCAAAAGGGAAAGCCCAAAGAGGACAATATCAGCTAGCGGTAGATCTGGACCATTACATTAATTCTCCTTTTAACAGTTTTACGGTCATAGCGACCTGTCTCAAATGGAGAATTGTTTGCAATCTTTCATGGTCTGGGGCTTGAATTTTAGCACCTGCCTTTTCTTGTTATTTCATTCTCCACATGAAAAGAAATATGTATGAAGCTTTGTTGACCAACGGTGATGGAATTCTTATGAATCAAATAAACTATGGCATGTAGTGGTTGCTAGTATATGTAAAAAGGATGTACGAGGATGGTCTACAAATACGATGAAGAAAGGGTGTTCAAGAAATCCTTAGTGGAAAGTTATCAAGTGCAAGGACTTCATTTGAAGTTTTTCTACAATCGGGTAGGCAGTAGAAAGAATGCCTTTTGACGTGATTCTTGGGAAGGTAATATCTGTTATGCTATCTTGGGAGATCACATTAGTTTAGTTGGAGAGGGAAAGGGTTGCACATTGGTGGGCACATTTTAAAATGGGGAACTCTGGAGGAAAAGCCCAAAGAGGACAATATCTACTAGTGGTGAGCTTTGACTGTTACACTCCTGAAAGGAAGAACTTATTCGTCTATGAAGTCTGTATATGAGCATGCTCGATCTTGTGGGTTTACGGTAGAATTTGCAGCATTTTGAGATCATTTTTGGCTTGCATTCGCCCGGAAGTCAGAATTTTTTTTGGTTGATTAGTTCTATGGAGTTCTTGCATCCCTTGGGTTGCGGCAAGACAATGCTGGCAAAACGACCTTGCTTCAAATGTAAAGATGAGAGATTAGTTCAACACCAGCCGACCCAGCATCCAACGTCAGAGAAGTTGAGTATCGGTAAGATGAAGTTAAAGGTCTTTGTGCTAGGAGGGCTTAGATATCTGGCAGAGTTCGGAAAGATTACTATGCTAAGGTGGATGCATTAGTTTATCTGGTCAAATGTCAGCATCCACTAACCTTACCCGTTAGTGTAGCTGAAGGTGATTATAATTGTCTGTTGTATGCAGGTTTTGCTATTCCATGATTTGCTCAACTCACTGTAACATCCTACTATGCCTCCTCAAGTGCTTCTCATGATGGAGTTTCACTTCTCACTCAAAGAAATGAAGACACTCGCACTTCTCGAACTTAGCAACAAAGGACTCAAATGATTTCACAGGTCACATAATTTCAAGCAAGGAATCTTTTCCTTTTTCTCTCTTTTTTCCTTTTGGAAATTTTGCAAATTCATCTTTGGCGATAGATTTAGAGCGTCTGATTTGTGCTTGCTTCTGTGAAGACGCCTACCCATATATGTAAATTGTAGAGTACCCGTTAAGCAATATAATATGCAAATCATAACGTTGTTGATTATAATGAGAATTTACAGCAGTAATGTGATATATGTAGTAGTTTATCAAGGCACTTCTTCCCTCATTGATGTTTACAGAAACCAAACACTTTCCCAATAGTTTCTAGGATTTGTACTGAAACAAGGCAAGAATAACTGGGAAATGATAATCAATGAATTGATTCTTATTTTTTTTTTCAACAAAGTTTCTTACTTCTAGATGGAGATTTGAGATTGTAGTTTTAGAAAAGTGTGAGTTTTGTCCCCTTGGGAGTGAACGGTTAGCTAAAAGAAGGACGGTCTAGAAGGAAAGATGTAACAACTCAAGCCTATTGCTAACATATATTGTCCGATTAAGCCCGTCACGTATCGCCGTCAGCCTCATGAGTTTAAAATGCGTTTACTAAGAAGAGGTTTCCACACCCTTATAAGTAATGCTTCGTTTCGTTTCCCTCTTGCTCTATCCAGATAACCTGATCATTCCACTATTGTTTTGTATTTTTGAAAGGGATTTCTGTTTTCTTTCCAAAAAAAAAAAAAAGATGGTAGTTTTAGAGCTGGCTAGCCTAGAGTCTAGATTGTGCTATGATTGCTGCTAAACCAGGAACATGATGAAACTGAGTCTCCTCTACCATTATGTGGCTCAGGATTCAAGCTAATCCCCACTTTCCATAAGTGTTGCGAAGGAAGGGCCTGGCTGGCTGTCTCCTTTCCAGCACTCGAGGTACCTTAAAATTCACAAAGTGCGCAGGAGGGAGGGATGTACAGTAGCACCTGTAAGTAAGCATATCTTGTCTTGTGTCCTTGCAGACAGTTTCAACTTCACTTTTGGTACATTTTATATTTCACTGATTAAGCTCTGTGTGTGGGTGTGTGGGGGGCGGGGCGGCACCAACTGGCACAGCAAAAGTAAGGGGGAGGGCTATGCTTTTAGGTACAGCCAGAAGTGGCAGTGACTCAGTTTGGATTCAATTAGTTTATTGACTCTGCTTTCTACATTTGCAGGCTCATTTCAATCTTGTCTTTGGCAATAACTACGAGATTCTTATATTTGTAGGACAATACATTGAACCAAAACTCAAAGCAAATTATTATTGGATTATTTTTCATTTGATTGCTCAAATGAAATGAGATTGTCAGAGGTTTAAGAAAAAGAGAAGAAAAAGTGAAGTATGGTTGCTCTCAGAATCAAAGTGAGAAACCACACACACTTGTCCTCAAAAAGTAGGCCATCGTCCATATCTATATTTGATACGCTTGACCGCGCTACTTACTTGTCAGTTTAGCATGTTTTGTCTTCACTCACATGATTTATAGGAGATTACCTAACATAGGATTGTTTTAAGCCAAACATATTTAACTTTGGAGTTCTCATGATTAAGCCATAACTGGTTCATTTGACATATTAGTGGGTTAGATTGATAGCTTTATTGTTTGACTTTGCACTTGCACTTCAGGAGCTTACAATGTATTCAACGTGTTCATGTTATGACAATACATAGTAGATCCATCTTATGTGATAGATTACAAACCTTTAAGATTGGACATGAGTTTAAGCTATGAAAAGAAACCCGTGCAAATTTTGGCTTGGAAGGTAAAAACATTGCGTAGTTGGAAGATTACACTTGTTAAAGTCCTTTAACAAAACCATCCATCTGAAAAGCGCTCGTTCCAAATCTAGAAAGTCGGGTCATTACAATTATAGTTCTAATCATAAATGATTTAGTTGAATATGGAATTAGGGTTTGTTTGTGGGGTGGCTTTGATAACAATGGGGCAAATTAGGGTTTGATTGATTAAATTTGTTGAAATGAAGATATGGGAAATTAAAACCATGGCCCTCTCTCTCTCTCTCTCTCTCTCTCTCTCTCTCTGAGAGAGAGACACAAAAGCAGCAGTACAAAAGATGGCAGACATAACTACCATACACGTTCACATGTTGTTTCAAAAGACCTCGTAGAGCCCAAATTCATGACACTCTTTATCCCTTTCCCCCCCTTTTTCTCTTCCTCATTCAACCTTGTTTTTGCCATTTTTAATCTCTTTAGCTTGTTCTTTCCTTTTAGTGGGTAAGTTCTTTAACTAAAGAACGAACGAACGAGAAATAAAGTAAAAATTGTTACCAAACGTATATATGTTCATATAGATCACTATCCACTCTCACTCACGAAGAGAGTGTTTCGAGTCGGATCGTAATAGATTCGAGTCGCGGGACACTCAAAAAGTTGTTGGCTGACAAATATGCGTGTTTTTAAGGAACATGTACACTTAGAAGTGACCCATGCCAGCTTCGACCCTCCATTCATTCCCATCCCACTACCTCAATATTTCCAATCTAAAATCACAGCCCATATATTCCAATATCTTTGGTAAGCCATGAGCTTGGCTATGGCCCCCCCCCCCCTCCATCCCTCAGCACTCCAAAAACCCCACATGATCTACTTATTCACTTCAAATTTATGCTTCTCCTTCTTCCATTCAACACATTCATGTAGATTCCTTCCTTTCCTTTTCTTTCCTTTTTCTTGCCCCCCCCACCCTTTTTCAGTCCCGACGTCGAAAACGAGTGGCATTCAGTTGGCCACACTGTTCTCTGCCATGATGTCGACGTCGTGCGAGTGGCCCCGTGCTGGGATAAAGTCGAGACGTGCAGGAGCAGATCCAGAAAAATTTCATAAGGAGAGACAAAAGTTTAAGCATTATAATCAAGGTTATTAGGTTCCATTTTGTGGAGGGCCAATAATTAGATATCTGAGGTCTTCGTGGGCTCAAAAGATGACATTAGAGGGTTGGCCACAATTTATTGCTCCATCTGACCTAAGAGACAGGAAATTGGAGACCCCCACAAATCCTAATTTCTTCAACTGTTTAAGTTACAGTTTGATGATGGGCTACTTCGATATGTACATAGGTTTTTTTTGATAATCGAATAATTGAATCGTCTGCCTTCCCATTTTGATACGACCACGAGTTTCAAGTTTCAACCTTTATGACATTATAATCTGACCATTGTGCTAAGATCTCACTAGCTATGATGGGTTTCGGTTGGTGTTGAGACCCGAGTCGTTCTACTAATATTTTCTTGACTAATAAAAATAACCCACGTTCCCTAACATTAGTTCGATCCTTAAATAATCGAACCGTTTGCCTCCCCATTTTAATACGACGAGTTTCAAGTGTCAATCTTTATGACATTATAATCCGACCATTATGCTAAGATCTCACTAGCTATGGTGGGTTTCGGATGGTCTCGAGAACCGGTCGATCTACCAACATTTTGTTAAAGAAATTGAATGATTTATATCTTAGTATGAGAATGAAAACACAAATGTCTCAATTCTCAAGTAAAAACCTTTTACAATTCTGTCTTGTTTGAAATCCAAATTCTTCCAAAATCTCTGTCTTCCTCATTTTTCAACAAAGATTCCAACTTTTTCTCTCTCTATGCTTAATTGTTATGTAATTAAATTGAACAAAATAAACAAAAAACTTGGTTTCTCAAAGGAGCAGAAATAAATAAATAAAACCCATCAAAGAAAATTGCATTTTAATTACTCATTGTTCTTGAATTTGATTTTGGAGCTAATATTTAGCGTTGAATTTCCAAGTTTGGTTGGTTTCAATTCCAAGAAAGGTCAGAAAGATATGGAAAAAAAAAAAACAAAAAACAAAATTTTACAGAGCGAAAATTAAAGAAATTGTTATTAATCCGTTTCCAGCGGTCGGATTTGTCTCATATTTCTTGTTCCTTTTGGAAATTTGTCAATTAATTAAATTACTACAGATGAAGATCCAAACTCACTTGGTCCGCCGCCGTTTTTGCCTCGTATACAAACCGGGTCTGATGAGACCCGCCGGACCCACCGCCAACCACTGCAGTGCTGCCGCCCTTCATCATCTCATCTCCTGAAAACAGTGGCAACGGGTGCATGGACGACCGCTCCCGGCTACCTAACGCCGGTACATTATTTTGTACGGCTGAGATTCTCCACATCGCTAACGGACTCCCGTTTATAGGCGCCGTCGTGGCTGCCGGAGAATACTGCCCACCAGGGCTACCATAAAATCTGGTGGCGGAAGCGGTGGAGGCGGTGGGTGAATTTCTATTCCAAGAAGGGTAATTATTAACCTGCAGGCCGGAGGGAGCGGCGCCTAGTCGCTGGTAGTTCATGAGCCCATATACATGGGCAGCGTCGGAGAAGGCTCCAATTCCATGAACCATGGCGGCTGCATTAGACTGAAGGTGAGCCCTTTTTGCATGTTGGCGCTCTCTTTTGTGGGCGTTTTGGTGACCTCCTAAGGCTTGTGAAGTAGGGAAATTCCTACAACAATAATGACATTCAAATCTCCGGCTACTTTCTCCTCCACTGTTGTTGTCGTCGTTGTTTTCTTTAGCATCTTCGCATGCAATAACCGTATAGTCGGACTCCGATTCTTCAATAGAAGACGCAGACGCCGCTACAACATTTTGGCTTCCAAATTCTATCCCGAAAAGTCTAATGCCCTTTTCTTTTGGCGCAGGTCGGATAAAGGGTAGTTGAGAGAAAGACTCAACGTTCATGAAATCATGAGTTTCTCGTTCAGAGTTACTCTTGTCCATGAAAATACGGTGGTTTTTGGATGATTCTTGAATTTGGGTCGTTGCCCGAGAGAGCGTTAAAACAACAGAGGAGAGGGAAGGTGAAAGACAAGTAAGTTGAATTGAGTCGAGTCGAGTCGAGTGGAGACCGAGCCGAGTTTTGTAATGTGGAAGGGAAAGGAGAGAATGTGTGGGGTCTATAAAGGTGTGGGGATGGAAGTATTGGGGGCTGACCCATTTGAGAGTGAACCCTGACAAGGCCACAAGTGATGATCAGAGGGGCTTTGGCTTCTCAAAGTACCATCTTGGCTTCCTTAGTTTTTTGTTTGACGTGGAAACTTTTATTTATTTATTTCTTCTTATTATTATTATTTTTACTTCCTTCCCTCCTCTTTAACTCTCTCCTTCCATCACAAAAAAGTTTACTTGAACTGTCATTTTTTAGGGTTAACTTTTTATACTTTTAGGGTTTCTGACTCACAAGCTAGGTTTTTTTTTAACCCATCCCCAACTTAAGTTTGATTTTCTACCTTTGTTTATCTCGGATTTAACTATATTATCGAAGTTTCCGTTCACGTGGCAGTAAAAATTCAAATCTTTACTTGTAGTAAAGATTCGTGTCGTGAATCAGCTGGAATTTTGTTTAGATTAATAATCGGAGTGAAATTATAATCATAATGAAATTATGTACTTTACCCAAAAGAGAGGTGGGTATCAATGCTTTAAATCTAACTAATTTATTGCCATAAAAGGGAGAAAATTATTATGTTACTTTCTTTAGTTAAATAATAAATTTTATGTTGAAGCTTATGAACCAAAAAAAGGAGCTTTAGTATATCTATGGTTTCTTTTTAAAAAAATAATACGCTTAATAATTATCATAAAAACTATATTAGGTGACTTCGAAGAATTTTTTTTAAGAATATCGAAATCATCAAGTAATACCAAATTCGAGTTCAAAATCGTGAACGTGTGGTGTTACGAAACCTAGACATGATAGTGAGGAACAGCTGGTTAATATAAAAGGACAATGCTTGTCTGGTTAACCAATGTGTCGGATTAAGAAAGATTACCTTAATTTCATAGTGACATTGGTAAAACATCAATTGATTATCTTAAAAAAAAATTTGTCTAAATTTGAATTTCTATCTTGTCGGAACTAAAAAAGAACAAATTAATGATAGTTGAGTGGAAGAGAACATAATTATATTTGTTTTTATATATATTTATATTTATATATAAAAGTGTGGCAAGGCGAGAATTAGGGTGAGCCTACGGTCAGAGACGGGGAATACGATTCTCGTTCCTATTCTCGTTTAGTTAACAAACAGAAATCTCTCTCTACTCTGTACCTCATTTTCTTCATTTTAAATGAACATCTCTAGTCATTATAAGAAACAATTATTATCCATATTACTCTTCTTAGTCTAACCCTAACAGAGTTAGAGATCAAACTATCGATTTTTGAAACGATAATCAACGTCATTCAGAATGACTACCAAAATTAATTTGAACCATGTTTATGTCTACACAAAATCATTATCAAACGAAACCCGACGACAACGACATGAACATGTAGATGTTCGTGTATACATACACATCAAGGTGTATATATACACGACATGCATGTAGCGGTCGACCATCAGTAAGTACCCACGTTTAGTAT